GGATTGAACTGTACAAGGATTCATACACCGCTAGTTGTCAGTGTTGTACATATATTGTACATGAATTGTCAGCTAGTAAGTGTCAAATTGAACTTGTGCTTTAAAATTAGCTTCTGCTTATTTTTCTATGACAGAAGTGTTTTTGAAGTTGTGGACCTAAACATTTACATAAGTGCTTTAAAAATTGCGGAGCTAATTTTGGATTAGCGCTGCCCACCACTGCATATAGTAGTGAAGCTAMTATTACCTTCACTGAAGCCTACATACACAATTCTTTCACTAATAGTTGAGTTATAACGACTCTGAAACAAGTGACTTGTGTTTACATTCCCAGTGATGAAAACAATGCTACATACATTAACACAAGTTAGCATCATGCTAACTGTTAGCAGCAGCTTGTGTGTGTTCACAGGGTGATTGAACTTGTGTTATTGTGTATTTTTGTTTCCATGTTTTAAACAAACATCAGAAGCTTGTTTCCTGGTGTTTCTGCAGCATCGTGTCACTGCTGCTTCCTGACGTGATGAAGACTCACCTTCTCCTCTGACCTGTCACAGGTCTTCTCTGCATGAGTTGTTAGTTTCTGCACGTTCTCCTCCTCCTTCTTCTTCTGTCAGAAACACAGAAATAAAGATGTTTTATTCCAGCCGGTAACCTGAGCTGAGCTTCTGGACTCTGAAGCTTCACCTGGTCCAGCTCAGACTGAAGCTTCTCAGCCTCCTCATCAGTCAGCTCCTGAATTCTGGGTCCATCATCGCTCCTCCTCTTCTTCTTCTCCTGTTCTGCCAGCTTGGCTGCTCTTTCAGCCTTCTCCTTCTCCTGTTTCAGCTGCTTCTCTCTGTGGGCCTTTAACGCCAGTTTACTGTGGTGGTCGAAGGCCTCTCTGACCAGCTGCAACAACCAGTGGAGGGGACATGAGAAATGTAATGTACCATGGAGCACCACTGGACTCATACCAAACTGAAAACATCAAGTATTTCTATGAATAAATACATGAACACATAATGTGAGTATGTAACAGTGAMATAACTGAATGTTTATACAACTGTGACATCATATTTAAATTTAAAATGYCATTCTCCTTTCCTTTTACAGAAAACAGCTGTAAGAATTATAACCAGAAAACTTTACAGTCACCCAACAAATATTTTGTTTTGTCAGTTGAGGTAGAGTTGGTAGATTATATTTTGTAGGTCATGTTTAAGGCTCATAAAAACAYATAACCTGTAAACATCCAGTCAGGTTTTATTAAGACAMACCAGTTATAACCTTAATGGTTGTGAAGCCTTAATTTCAAACCAGTTTGAAGGAACGATGTACTCAGGGAATAAGATTATGAAATATGTTAAAAATGCCAGGTTCTAAGAAAATGATTAAAATTGGTTTGTTGAAAAAATATGAAAAAGAATAATAAATTTTGTTTGAGGAGGATTATTGTTGTTTTGCTCTATTTTTATTAATCAGCAGCTAACTTGTTTATTTTATATTTTTCCTAAAAAG